GAGAGAAGGATATATGCATGAGTGGCAGCAAGAAGGGTCAAGTGTAGCAGGGGTTTTAATAGTAATTAGTTTCTACATAGCTCTGAGGTTAGGACATCCAAAATATTATCATTCTGCCTTCAAATTAAACAGAAAGGAGCCTATTCTGTTTTGCAGCCTGTGCCCAGATCATTGCAGTAGCTGCAGCACTGCAAGTTGTCCACCGTCTGAGACCTTTTTGTATGACAGTGTAGCGTTACGGTACGTGGAAAGGAGGGAATGCCTCACTGCAATGAAGATAGTGACAGAGGAGTTTCAGAAAACGGAAATAAAAAGATGGCAGTGATCGTATGTCTTGTTTTACACATGAGCTGGAAAGTGCTGATAGGCACAGTTCAGTGCAGGGATGACAGTGGGTGCAGTTAGCCTGATATTGGGTACCGGAGAACATACAATCAAGACAGGAGAGAATATCTTTTAAGTGGTGTAAATGAACGTAATGAGAAGTAACGCAATAAATATAAGGGAATGCTGAAAGTGAATACATACAAAAGAAAAGTACCTGGACGTGGGATAGAAAATTTAAAAGATGGAGTAGGTAGGATGTCTAGAAACAGACTGGATAAATCTCTTATAAATCAGTAGTAAATACGAATTCTGCAGTGATCCTCAAGACTTAGATCAGCTTAGAAAGGTCAGCATCTTTTCTGTCCCCAGCTTCTGGGAGTTTGTGCATCAGGTCCATTGCTATATTGGCCTTCTGCTGTCCTTCACAAGAAGCAAAGATGATGATAGCCCTCTGATAATCTTAAGAATTAGTGCAGTATTTGGAAGGACTTGTAATACACCACAGGTGTATGTGGAGAAGGAGCTCAGAGGTAACTGAAGAGCAGACTGGAGTCCCTTGCTCCAAGGGCACATTCCCAAGTCTATTGCAAATAAGTTTTAACTTTTATTGCCCTTAACAACAAGTAAATAGCAAACTTCTTGTTTCCAGGATTAGCCTGTAGAGAACATAATCACATGAATAAAAGCAACAAGGTAGACTGACCCTCACAATTTAAATAATGACACAGGACTGTCAATCAGTGAAGTCCAGGGATGGTACATAAACAGGTACAGTTTGGGAAGGTTCCACAAACAACATTTATTACTTGTTTCATTCTCACTCCTACCCCTGTGCTTTCAGGGTTTTTGACATAGCTAAGACAAGTCATACTCTTCCACAGTTAGTGTGCTATTTTACCTTCTGGAACATGGAGATATATTAGAGAGCTTGCTGATAGAAGCATTCATAGAAGTAGCGTGCGATTAAAAAAAAAAAATTAGGTTGGGAGGGTCCTTTGGAGGTCTCTAGTCCAATTCCCTGCTCAGAGCAGGGCTGACTTCCAAGTTGGATTAAGTTACTCGGGGCCTTGTTCAATTAAGTTTTGAAAATCTCCAAGGATGGAGATGCCACAACCTGGCTTGTCAGCCTGATCCAACGCTTAACAACTCTCCCTGTGAAGACTATAGCAATATGATAGCAATAGAAGTAGACTATGTAAGTGAATGTAAGAATATTTAATTAGAATATATAGGTGAAGATCACAGCAATAGGAGCTTTTTATATGGGCGATAAGGTAGAACAAAAGGATAGCAATATACTACAGCAATAGGAGGATTTTTCTGGCTTTGACCATTGTCCTTTGCTAGCAACAGCAGTCTGGCGTTGCAGACTGAAGAAGAACCTTGTTTGGGCTTCTTCATAGGTAGTTTTGATCACAGTGTCCCCAGGATTTGTCTTTTCTGAAAAGTTTTCTTTAGATCCTTAGCTGACTTGGCTGTTTCCCTTACTCAGCCTTCCTCATGTGGAAGCCTGCATTCCTTTCAGGTGGTAGTGAGATGCAGGGCATGTCTAAACAGTGTAAGAGAAACGGAGAACTGCTGTGGAGAGGTATTGCCTCTAGTGCCAGTCAGCACCATTGCTTCCCTTCCCATCCTAGTGAGCACAAGTCACCAAGCTGCAGGACTCTGATGTGGAAAAGTGATGAAACAAGAGCATCTTGATAAGATAGTGTCAGCCTTAAAAGCCAAGTAGAAAATAAACAGGTTTGGAAAAGAAGAAGCAGGGGGTGCTGTGTGCAGGCTCACCTGTGTTGCTACCTGTTGCTAAAGTATTTTTTAACCTGTCCCTCTAATGAGTTTTGAAGGCCTGGGAGGCACACGTGGGATCAGCCACACGATGAAGATTCAGTCAGTGCTTGGTCTAACAAAACAACTATGGCTGTGCTAGTGGCCAACAAGTCGTGTTTACTCAGACTGAGCCCCTACCCTGCAAATAACAACAGTGTCCTGCCCAGGGGAGGCAGCTTTGTGCGTGGACAGAGCTGGAGTCAGAGGCTGTAGTCCGAACGTGTAACTTGGGTTAACTCTGAGCTGAAAACAGACCTTAACTACATCAGTTCAGCTTCCAGGCGCAAGGGACTTCATTACCTCACACATCCAGAGTCTAACCCTACATACATCCTTTGCTGCCTGGACAAAAAGCCATGCTATCTGAAAGCTTCTTGGGTAGCAATGCTGTAAAAAACCACTGGTTTGTGCATGGATTCCCCGCAGCCCCCGGTGCGTGCTGGCTGCACATGGGAAAGTCACGGGATCTGGAAATGAGGCGTGTGAAGGTGTGCCAGAGTTCGTACGCCAAGGGTTGACGCAGACTGTTATGAACGAAACATATGCAGTCCATATACTTTAAAATATATGTGTTCATGTACAAGCTCTGCGTCTCATGCATTCTCATCCGTGTAGCAAGAGATGGATCCTGGTGACAGAACGGGGAACAGACGGAAGGATGCCCGAGCTTGGAGTGATGAGATGTTCTGTTTACTCTTCAGGAAAAAAATACTCTTTTAAAATAAGACAGTTTGATTTTTCTTCCATTTAAAATGGAGTAAGTCAGTTCAACCCTTTGCTATACCTCTGCAACTTTAAGTAAGGTCCATTTAGTCATCTCCTATTGATTTACATCAGATTAGACTTTAGCCCAGTATATTTTGAGCATATTGATTATATATGTGGAGGATACAGCAGCAGTACCATCTGCCCGTCCCGTGGCATGGGGATTTTTAGCCCCGGTAATCCAAAACGCATCAAAGCTGCCAGCAGCTGTGGGGTTATCAGCGTGACCCTCCATTGGCGGTGGTTCACCTGCGGAGCTCGGCTCCCCTGCAGCACCCCGAAACCCTGTCCGTCTGGGACCCAGCGCCTTTTTCTGCGTTTTGGCCGGCCCAGGGCATCCCTTCAGCACCG